ATAAACTGACGTAATATAATATAAACTATTCAAATATCATTGTTAATGAATTTCATTGCTATTGCCTTTTTATAATAAACTTTATTCTGAACCCAGAATAAAAATATGTAATACTAAAAATAGATTATAAATTCTCTATTAAAATTTTGTTTATAATTTCTAAATTTCAAAATTTTTTTCTAAACATTTTTTTAATTTAAAAAATCTTTTTCTATATACGAGGTGACACAAAAGTTCTCGGAATTTTTTTGAGAGCATTAAGCAGCCACAAATCGGTACACAAATTAAACATTTAATAGATCATAAAACTTTATTAGAACATCAATAACTAAATTAAACAAAGAAAATTACAATAAATGCTCAAAATTGTTTCCGTTGATTTTAATAAATTTTCGAAACCACTTCGGAAAATTGTTCACGATGGTCGCGCACTGCTGGATGATAATTTCATCTGAGACATGTCGTAGGGCCACTTTGAAAAACTCCGTTAATTTAAAGCGAACTCCAGAGATCTTTTGCTCCAAGCTGGACCACACAGAAAAATCCATCAGTTTCAAATTCAACAACCAAACTCGCTGCCCCAAAAACCGGGAAACTAGCTTTTCGCACGTCGCAATCGCTGTTCGCGCCGAATAAGTTAGTTACATGCAACATTAAACAACTAAAAATCTATGAAATAGATTGATTTAAAATAAAAGTTAATATATTCAAAATAAAAGTTTATATACTAACATTACGCTGTAAGCGGTACACATTAAATATCTAGTTTTAATTTATTACTTTATGATACGTTGTGCCTCACTACCGCTTTGTATGTTAGATTAGGAACCCAGCAGCTAGTAATTCCACTGCTGTCAGTTAGACTGTAACTCTTAATCAAGAGACACGGTAGTGTCTCGCGCCAAGTACGCGCGGAGCGAGACCGACCGTGACTCTTTTACGCGACGCGACTAGTTGCGAGTATATCGTGATGGTTCAACTTGCTCATATGGTTCAAATTACCCGAACTTCCTCTAATATGTTCAAAACGATTGAAAGATTAATTATTTGTGACATCAACATCACTTAAGGGGAATGGTAAGGTTTAAACGGCCGAAAATTGGGTAAAATTCAAATGTCGTTTTTGGACACACAAATAAACATACATAATTTTTTTTTTTAAACGTGTTATTGGTGCTTTCTTAACGAACAAAACAAAACGTAAAAGTCCCAAGAATATAATTAAAGGTGATATTGATGATTAAAGGCGACCGCGCGATTTGTGCACTGCTCTGTTCTTGCCACAATTCCTGGTGAACAAGCTGAAATTTTTCAATTTTTTGGTGCCATTTTGTTGGTAAGATGCCCCTCTATAGACTAAACCTAAAGTCTAAAAAAGTACGTTAAGATTGCAACAATGGCAGCCAAAAAAAAAAAACTTTCAAAAAATTTAAATTATTTGTTGTTAAAACAATTACAAAAAATTAATTTTTGTGCGCTGGAATAGGTTCAGTTTACGGAAAAGTTCGTTATCTTTATTAAAAAAAAAATCAAGTCGATATCTGCAGCTGTTCGTGAGTTATCGTGGCAAAACTAGCGAAAAATGCCATTTTGAGAAAAACACGGTTAAAGTTTAGAATACTAGTTTTAGCTAGAAAATTGATACGTATGAAGCTCAAAAGTTATCCGTGCTATAAAATGACGTCTCCAGGTCAGCTTTCATTGCTGCAGTAATCACAGAACATCACAGATTTTTTTCGGCTTTGGCCTCTTTTAGACACGAGGGAAAAGTGTAGCACAAAGCGAACCTGCACGCGGACACTTTGCCGGCCAGCACTCACATTTTTAATTTTCCTGAGCTCAATTTTGCGAATTTCTCAAAAAACCAAACTGGGAAATATTCTTAAAGGATCACACTACCAGAATATGTAAAAGTACCAAAAATCGAATTCTTCAAAATTTCAAACTTTACCATCCCCGGTAAATGGTGTTTAGAAAAAAATAAGTCTTTTTGGCTTGAATTTATTTACATCATTATCAATGTTATAGCAATATGAATTTTTTAATAAAAATTGACAAATATCGAAATAATGCAATTCTAACTAGAATACTTTTTTCTTTTCTTTTTTGGTATTTTATATGCAAATAATATCGTTTGGTTTGCTAAATTGTTTTATTTATTACAGGGCGGAAATCCAAAGCGTCACCTCATCGGCAAGCGCGAAGAGAATCTACTACAAAAATCAATACGGATACTGAGGACTCGTAATAATCGGGTCTGCATTTGTAACAGACGCCAGCAGAGGAGAAGAAGAAGTGAACGAAAGGCCAGCACCACATTGGGTATCATTGTTGGTGCATTCGTTGTCTGCTGGCTGCCATTTTTTATGTTGGCATTAATCAGGCCATTCTACAAACCTGATGATATCCCGCATTCAGTATCGTCTCTGTTTCTCTGGCTCGGTTATTGCAACAGTGCGTTAAACCCCATTATTTATGCGATTTTCAACAAGGAAATCCGTAAGCCATTTATCTTGATAATGTGTTTACAATGGCGTAATCTCAATGAGTTAATGCGCGAGGAGTATTACCATCAACAATTCGGTGAACGAAGGACAAGGAACGGCATAAACGGCAACGAAGCTACGGAAAATACAGAGGGTGCAAATCTCGTTGATGATAACAATAAGAATATCAGAAATAATAATCATGATATCGACAATAATAACCAAAACGTCGATAATAACAACCAGAATGTCGACAACAGCAATCATGTCGACCAGAATAATCAAAACATCGGGGATAATAATCAGGATGCTAATGGTAATAATCAAGATAATAATCAAGTTAATAATCAAGATATCAGTAATAACAAACAAGATGTTGGAAATAAAAAACAAAACATCAATGATAACAATCAGATCGACATTACCGAGAAATCCGGTGAGATGCCCCGCTTCTGATCTGAGGAGTGTTCCTCGAATAACGAGGACCGTGGTATTCGACGAAGATCATCGCCGTACTGCATGGATACTTTTCAAGTCATTGCTGAAGTTCATACACCTTGCATAACCGAGACCCTTGTATAATTGAACAAGAAGAATGCTAAACATATTCTAAAATAATGACTGAATGATTTTTTTCAAGAAAATTTCCTTATTATTTAATTAAAAGGGGACAAATAAATAGAAATAATAAAATTTTATAAAAATATTTTTTAAAAGTGCAATGTTTTTAAAATATGTGCAAAGTTTTATATTGACCTGATAAAAATTCACGGAGTTATAGCAATTTGAACGCAACACGTCGCATATTTTGATTACATTGTAAACGTTTGTAAAACATTTAAAGGAATAATCGACAGTACTGCTTATAATAATATACAAATGACAAAAAATAGGACATTTAAAATAGAGTAAAAAACTCCGTGATTGTAAAAAAAATACGAAAGATTTTGACAGCATAGATAAACTGACAACGGTGTTAATCGATAAGTTAACGTTTATTACGGTCTTACAGTTACACAAAACACACAATTTGTGAAAAAAAAATGAAGAAAACTATTTGAGTCTCTTTTTATCGTATGCAGTTCGTCAATGGAAACCCACAACATCACTGGTGTCCACAAGGACTTGATTCTTAATGTTCCTAGCAAAATGAATTGGAGCAATATCAACATAAAATCACCGCTGCAATGAAAAATGCTAAAGTTGTTAAAACAATCGATCCAATATCCAATTAAGTTCTTACAATCCAATTTATAAGAACTTAAGTATAGAAGAATTGTTATTAGAATATTGCATCGAAAGCTCTACGTAAAATATAAACGAAAGTCTGAACAACTTGATAAAGAATAACACCAAAAATATTCTTCAGCGGCACACGTATTGAAATTGCAGTTTACATAGCAATATGCATCTTCAATGACGGTTACAAATCTTATCTGCAGATAATGGATATTTTGGGAATAAAAATTGGCAGAAATGCCTATCACTTCTGTTAGCAAGATAATTGCATCCACATCTCAAATGCGGACGTGCATAACTCATGCACTACAGCGAAAAAATTAGGAATAAAAAAGCTTTGGAGAAAAACCATGTTGCTACGGAGACTTATGGTCCAGGAATAGCTGAATAAGGGTGAGAGAAAAAATTTTGATTTTTAAAATTATTTAAAATTAAAAAAATTACGTTTTCCTCAAAATCATGTTTTCTTAAAACCAAGATAACGACCATTAGATCTTAAAAACCATTCGTTTCCAATTTGGCTAAAATTTTAATATAATATAATGTTTATCTGGTTTATCCAGCTGTCGATCATTGACTGAGGTCAAAGGCAAAACATAACTTACTTTTATTGTACGTACGGTAAAAAGCGTTTTTGATGAAGAGAAAGGGAAAAGAGAGAGAATGACATGAACATGAAAATTAATTACAATAGGATAACAGAAATAAAAATTAGTCGCCAATATAAATCCGGAGAATAACAACTGAAATTTTTACGGCAGAAGAGTAAACGTGATGGACAAGATTTATAATTTACTTAAAATTGAGACATATGCGTGATGTAAATATTCTGTGTCTGCTTTGTGAGTTAACTCTATTAGTTTGAAGTTTTATGTGTGCCATTTCGATAACTAATTGTTTAGATAAAAATCTTTCATTGCCCAAAATTTTCACATTATCCCAATTAAATTCATGTAATTGATTCTATGTTTCATAATGACAGAAGGAGTAGCTGTGTTCCTGCGGATAGAGTAGCGATGGCTTGAGATTCTGGTTTTTAGACGTCTATTAAGCTGACACAGCCAATTCAGCACAATCGATTAAAATT